CTATAGCTTTCACTGCTCTACACAATGCCTTTTCCCTTTTTCTTCAGATATCAACTGATGGCCTACCTGCACACTGCTCGTGGCTCTTCATAAAGCTGCTCAAGCGTAAGTGCCGTGAGTGGGAGAGTTGGGTATTGAAGGAAGGTATTGGCGATAGTCTCATTCTTGAGATAGAGAGGCCTATGAATTAATTGAACCAAATAAGTTAGTAAATCTAGGAGGTGCCTAACGGCAGCTGGCGTCCATGTTGTTATTGTTGTCTTTGTTTTCATGCTCTTGTTCTTATTATCTTGGTTTTTGTTTGCTTTGTGAAGTGAGAACTTCTATAGGCGTGCCTCGGTTGGGGACCAACACGGTTGAAGCGTACGATCGTACGTAAATACATATATATGTTACCGGCAAAGTGTATAATCAGGCATTCTATAGAATGCCTAACAGAGTTAGGCAAAGTATAGAATAAGTCTAGATTTCACACTTTGCCTAGGCATTCTATAGAATGCCTAAGAGATACCCGTCAAAGTATGAAATTATCAACAAATACTCGTTGATTATCGAATTACTTCTCAGTTTGCTATTTACTTTTGACGTACACGGTCGTAGTTTGAGGACTGGCTTAGAAATGGCTCAGGAAGCGAAAGAAATCATGAGGCAGCGTTTTGAGAATAAACTGAAATCAGAAGACAGCAAATCGAATTTGGTTACACTAAGTAATGTGACAATCTTAGATCTAATAAAAGAAGTTAAAGAAGAAAAGTGCAAAGAGACTAGTAAATCTTCACGACATTATTGGTTGCTGCAACACTACGATGTGCTAAACGTTGAAGGACGCGAAAAGTTAATTTTGCCAATTAGTGAAGCGAATGCTGATATTATTCCATGGAAGATTTATTTGACGTACTGTATGATAGTCATTCGTCAATCGGACACGGCGGACGAGATCGAATGATCTATGAAATAAATAAAAAGTATAAGAACATAACACGTGATCATATTCAATTATTTTTGAATTTGTGTGAACCATGTCAACAGAAGAAAAAGGGAATCAAGAAGGGAATTGTGGTGAAACCAATAATTTCACACCATTTTAACTCCAGAAGCTAAATAGACTTGATTGATTTTCAGTCTCAGCCTGACGGTGAATATAAGTTTATTTTTGTCTATCAAGACCACATGACGAAATTTGTTGTTTTACGTGCACTTAAAACGAAAACGGCCGAGGAGGTTGCATCACAGGTTTTAGATATATTCCTTCTCTTTGGAGCTCCCTGTATTCTGCAAAGCGACAACGGACGCGAATTCGTAAACGAGACTGAATCTTCGGTGCGAGCCATAGCAACTGCACAAAGTAATGGAACTGGGCAAGGAATAAGAAATTGTTCTTGCAAATCGCAGTGTACGACAAAAAATGTATATGTTTTAAAAATAACATACTGTGTAATTCGTGATGTCATAAAAGTTTATCGTGTTGTAACAAATAAGTTTTTTTTAACCATATTAATTTAAATAGATCGTCTGTAAATAGTTTTGTAATTAGAATAAATGCATTTTTTCGATGCAAATGCAAATTCCGAGCCTCAAATAAGTTTACTATTAACAGATTATCCATAATTTTTACTTTGCCGGATACCTCTTAGGCATTCTATAGAATGCCTAGGTGTTTCATAGAATGCCTAGGCAAAGTGTTGAAAGAATCTAGTATTTTATACGTTGCCTAAAACAGCCCGGCATTCTATAGAATGCCTGAATTTCATACTTTGCCGGTAACATATATATACTGCAGCTTGATGGCGCTCGAGTCTCATCGTTCGCCTTCAGATTCCAATACAGACATATACTATATAGTCAGCATGTTGTGCTATGCATATTCCTATTACCGTGATGCCGTGCCGTAGTGTGTTACTGTGTGCAGTATCCAGATATACAACATACAGTGCATACATGCACGTACGTATGTCTGTGTAACTTGTTTACAGAAACAGAATTATGGATGCAACATGCAATCATAAAAGTGTGCATGTATGTGTATGATGAGTGTTTGTGTACTTTCTACATTTCTACTTTTACTGTGCAAGTGTGCAACTGTGTACATGTTTGCCTGCACGCATTTGTATAGAATATAGTAGTTAATATTATTACTATATACACTAGTTATTATTGTTATTCAAATAAAGTACATTAACAAATAATTTTTGCATGTATGGCAGATCGATGCAGAAGGCCAGTGTTTTTTAAACGGGTTTTTATAATACGGTACAACCTTCAAGTATTACAAAAAAAACCATGTTTTTAAAAGGAAGTAAGATATTTATAAGTAGATTTATTTGATATTGCTTGTACACAAAAAAAAAACAGAGAAAGGATGGAACGTCTGGTCGCCCTTTTAAAATTAGTTATTATTGTTGGCATCTGATGAGCGGCAGTGGACTACTAACTAAAACGCCGTGCAAATGAATGCTCCTTGCACGAAATTTTAGTTAAAACTTCTTGGTCTTACTTGCACTGGGGCCGGTACTTGCTGACTTTATGTGTTTAGGCTTAGCGGCTCGCATCAGTTGTCACTTGACACTTCCGAGAACCACAAAGTACACATTAAGTTTTGTTAGGTGACGACTTTCGTTAAGTATGACCTTTTTAAGAGTCTACAAATTTTATTATGGAGAGAACAAATATAATATAAGATCGAATAAAATTAGAAAATCTATTTATTTACGCAAGTTTTTACTTAACAATAATAACAATAAGAATAATAATAGTAATAATAATAAAAGCAAAAATAAAAATAACAATTATAACAACAATAATAGTAGTAATATTACAATTATAAGTTATAACAGCAATCGCCACCGTTACTAATGTTCAAGTATTAGTGCTGATTGATATACTGTGACACACCGATCGTTTATTTACCTGAGCATTAAATTGCAATGTTAAGCGCTTTCCCCTACTCTTTATGCAACAAGTTGGATTGAATAAGCAGTGTTCAGCATTAATAAATATTAATAATATTCTATCTTAATGTAAATATCAAGGTTCAAAGAAATGCTGTAAAATTTGGACGTAAAAGAGAAAGGAAGGGCAGGAGTAAGTGAATTATCTTCCCTTCTCTTGACGCATGTAGGAGAGCAAGCCAGATGTGGGAAGTGCAAATTTGTGACTACCTGAACTAGAGCAGTTCTAGCTCATTAGATTTTTGGCTATTATGGTTTTTTTAAGATTTTACCTGGCAAATTTTCCTCCGTCGTTTTTTAACCGGCGCATGACTCAGGTCCGCTATAAACAGGCCCAGAGGCCCAGAAAACTCTCTTACTTAATTCTTTCCCTTCACACGGTAGACTGAGACGTTGTTGTCCCCCTTTACTACCACGACGTAAGGACATGGTTCACTTTTACTCTCGAACGGTCGAGTGAGTAGCTGGAGTCCACCTCCGCTACCATACGGTCCTTCACGAGCGCGGTTCAATTTAACATCTGGCACTGGTTCTCCACGTGTATGAGCGTTTTCTTTATAAATATAAATAACTGTTTATTATTGAGTTTGTTTTTTTAATTTCTTCTTTTCATTCTGGCACGAGCCTAGAATCAACATGCACACCATTGCTTGCAACAGTATTGGTACCCTTGGAGTCCCGGGAAATAAAAGAGTCAAATGTGCATACCATTACTTGCAATACCATAGGTACCCCTGGACATGCGGGAAACAAATAATTAATTGAATCACTTGTAAGAATCTTGAACTAATACCATTACTCATGGCGGTATTGGTGGTTTCTAGATCGCAAACACAACACCACTCAATACGTCACTCCGGGTAACATTGACAAACCTTAGGTGCGCCGCAAGTGAGTACATTGGAGTGCTGCACAACAGCTTTTTTAAGTCATTACAACTTGATTCCCTCTACTCGAAAACAGTCTTACCTCCTTTGCAAATACCCGATTGCGTTATTTAACTATCCTCCAGCCCCACGTCCCACCTACGGGCCCAGTAGGTGTCCTGAGTTATTAAGCGAAAGCTTAAACTCAAATAAATTTTCGCGCCAACGTAACACTAAGTTTGGTTGGTTTATTTTTTAGTCATATAGTAAGCAACGGTCACTTAAGTGTCAGCAGCAGCCAGCAGAATCAACAGTTAATGGAGTGCGCTCCAGCATCTGTATCTATGATTATGCCGATATTGTGGCTGTCGAGTGAAATAAAGTGGGAAAAGCTTGTCTATCATTTCAAATCTGTCAATTTTTCATAAAATATCTCTTTCAACCCCAGAACGACACATAAGAAACTTTACTTCAACTATAAATTTTCTAAATAAACACATATTTATCGAGGTCTTCATAATGTTTTGATTCGTAGAGAATCTTACAAAGTATTTAAGGAAGAAGAACGACTGCATTGCTCTCTTCCTGACAGTTTGACAGCACTTTCTTTTAATTGATTGTAGGATAGCGAACAAAAAAAATTTTATATAAAATATTTCCGTAATACTTGCTTATGGGTTGCATAGGCAATTATTCTTACAAATTATCAACAAATACTCGTTGATTATCGAATTACTTCTCAGTTTGCTATTTACTTTTGACGTACACGGTCGTAGTTTGAGGACTGGCTTAGAAATGGCTCAGGAAGCGAAAGAAATCATGAGGCAGCGTTTTGAGAATAAACTGAAATCAGAAGACAGCAAATCGAATTTGGTTACACTAAGTAATGTGACAATCTTAGATCTAATAAAAGAAGTTAAAGAAGAAAAGTGCAAAGAGACTAGTAAATCTTCACGACATTATTGGTTGCTGCAACACTACGATGTGCTAAACGTTGAAGGACGCGAAAAGTTAATTTTGCCAATTAGTGAAGCGAATGCTGATATTAAGTATGATTGTGCCATGGAAGATTTATTTGACGTACTGTATGATAGTCATTCGTCAATCGGACACGGCGGACGNTTTTCAATTTTTAAGTAAAAATAAAATAATTATAATCTTCATTAGAAATTTTTATTGTATTTAGGTGAATGTGTGGCTCTACAAGATCCATATTGTGCATGGGATCGTGTAGATGGAAAATGCCGTGCTTTGGTTGGTCCAGCTTCAACAGATGCAAATAGATTTTTGCAAAGTGTTACGACTGGACTTCATTCTTCTTGCCCATCTGGAAAAATTCTAAATAAAGATGCAAGTAGTATTGGAGCAATATCAGCAAATCAAAATAAATTTCCTCAGAATCCCATGGCTACCAATAAAGATGGTCAAGGAGGGGAAATAATTAACATCATGCAAGATGAAGAGCAAAGTAATTCTGGTGAGTAGACACTTACTTTATTTTTTTTTTCTTTGGTTCTGTTGGTAATAAAAATAAAAATACTCTAAACAAGTCCGATCATTGCACATGCAGGCCTACTTACAATGTCAATATCAATATCAATTTTCTATAATTATTTTATTCGTATTAATAAAAAGAAAGAAATTCAACGAAAAATATGTGTATGAATGAAACTATAAAAGTTTAGTACCAGAAAACGAATAAAAATAGATTAAGATGTTATTTACATCAAATAAAATTAAAGTTACTATTGTGCCATATCACGATCACAATCTATCAAGTTATTAGAGACGCTGGTCTATGCATCTGTAGGTCTCAGTTCTATTATATAGAATCACCATGTAAAGTAAACTAGACCTCGTAGAGTCTGCAGCACATGGATGCTTACAACTGAGAGTAGTTCAAAGTAGACAGTGTATGCTTGGGTACCCAAGTATGAAGGAATACTTTTATGCAATTTCACAAACAACTTTCTACTACCTATGCTGATTATATCTCTAACGTCATGTTCACATCTACGCAAAATTAATTTGTATCTAAAAGTTTGACAAAAACTATTTTTTGGTACCGCTCTCTTCATTAGAGTAGTATTACATGCCAGTGACTGTCCCTTCAAGAAGATTATTACACATAGGTTTTTTCGACAGATATTATTCAAACATCGAATGTATATCAACGAACCGTTTTAAAAAAGCGCAGCCTAGGATTCCTTATGAAAGTAAGCATGTTATCAGAGTTTGGCTGATAAAAAGCATAACTCAGGTTTACAAGAAAAATAGTTACCATCCACGCGTTGAGACGAAAAAAAGCAGTGCTCTTATTTTCAACTCAAAAGAAACACAGCTTGTGCATTCGGACGAAAAGAGGCAAAACTGGCACGTTTACATAAAAAAAAAATCATAGCTTGTAGCATTCAGACAAAAAGAAATACAAGTCAAGCATTTGGTGAAATAATAAGCACGAATTATTGAATCCAGATTGAAAGAAAAACAACTGATACGTTTAGATAAAAAGAGTCATGGCTCGTTGCTTACACTGCTTACATACTTAAACTAAAAGTATCGTGACCTAATTATCTGAAATTATTGCTGACACATAAGGACTCTTATAACTTTCTTACTGTATAATTGTTGATTATCATGTTGTATCTGTAATCTTTCTTCTACTATTTTTTAAAGAAGTTGAAGAGTTTTTCCACAGGAAGCAAGCAGATCTTTGCATTATAGTTTATCTTATACTACGTTAATTGAATGCTGGGTATTAATCGGTTTTTACTGAATTGTGGTGGAATAAATTATAATTAACTGATGTAAATCTAACGACACATCTGATAAGAAATTGCATACTATCTTTTTTCATACTTACCTCTCTGCTCAGCCAGGGTAGAGGTATGAAGAAGTTTATTAGTGGGATGTTTTAATTTGTATTACATTATTCAAAAGTTAACATGCTAGCACATATGCATTAAGTTGACAGAGTAATTTTTAATACTGCAATATATTTATATAAAAAAAATATAAGGATTTAACATGGAAAAAACATATGTTTCAAAATAACCAGGTTTCGTACAAATTTCTCATCCGATAGTCTTAGGAGTTTTCCAGAATTTCCTAATTGCATTAACCTAACTCATACCAAGTACTAGGTATTGACAAACATAACGTTTCTCTTTTTTTTCTTCCAATTACAGTTTTGTTTTTCTAATAGGAGCATCTAGCCAATCAAGCTTCTACTCCAAAGCTTGTTTAGAAGTCCCTTAGCGATAAGATGATGTCACATATGCTTTAAAAAAGTGATATAGTGCTAACAGAAGTTGATATCTAAGGTTAATCAAGGTAATTCCTTGCATCAGAAATGTGAGCTCTTGCATTGACGGTATTTTTTACCGCTGTTGCGTAGCGCTGAGTCAAATCACGTACCCGATCTTTGGGAGTGATCTCAATGAGGCTGCCATGGTTCACTTAGAAGTCAGCTCAAGAGGAACTCAAGAGCTATAGCAGTACATTGGCAAACCCATAGCTCCATAACTCATCCCATACTCTGTCCACATTGATCACAAAGCGTGCTACCACGTTCGCCCACGGTTTTTGAATCAGTAATAAAGCTGTCCAATCTGCTATAACTCTGAGTACAAGTTAGCTGGTTTGACGTTTGGTCTACAAACAAGACTTGATTGTGAAATTAATTAAGCATCGTCATGCGTCACCAAACAAGTGGTATTGGTATCTGCGTGAGATGACACAGGCGTAAAAACGACTGTGGTCTTCAGTTAAACATTGAATCAGCTCCATGTCGTCTATCATACGTCAGTTCGAACACGTGCATAAATATGGCAGTACAGCTACCGATTTCAACCAGCAAATGACTAACAAGTTAAGCACTATGGCGGAGATGACTGACATGATAACCGCTGTGTATTGTGCACAAGTCATGCTTTGATGAGAGGGCCTATACCTAAGAGTACCTATCTTCTATCCCGCAAACTTAGAATTCAAGATTTCCACCCACAAAAATGCACACTACAAAAGTACCGTTCTCAAAATTGCCTTAATTTATTTTTTCGTAACGCCATATTTATAATTTTATAAAAATTTTTATTTTCATTCAGTGTTTTCTTAATTTTTGGTGTTTTTATAAATATTTTTTATTTTTTTAAGCCCTTGCCACTTTTCAGCTGTCTCAAGAAAATTTAAGGAATATTTTTAAGTTGGATGTGGTTTTTAATTTATTTTGATTATTATTACTTGTTCCAAGTATTATAAATCTTATTAAATATAAAATAAATAAAAAAGTCTAACGCTATACTGTCAAAATCAGTTTTGTTTAATCAGCAATGTTTTAACTCTCTATTAGGAATCCTTTTCAAGCAACAATTTTTTATTCTGAAGAATTTAGTATCAGTTTTTTATAATAGTTTTTATCTTGTTTAATTTTATTCTCAGTAACATGTTTAACACTTTGTCCAAATCTCTTATTATTATTATTGTTACTAAGTTTCAGTAGTTTATCCATTATATACTGGGTTAAGAAAAAACTAACTTTATTCCTACCCAAAAGATGATTTTAACGTTTCATGTCCCCAGTGATGCTTACTTTAAGATCCTCATAAGCTTATGATCTACCAAATATTCTATAGGACGTATAAAGGAGCATCATTTGGAACTGTTTCAAAAAATCATTGGCAAAATAAATTGTAGAAGTCCACTTCTATCACATTTTGCTTATTTACTTTTAAAATAGAAACACTTTAGATCCAGCAGCATTGGGTAAGGATTACATGACTTTGCATTTTTTTCACTAGGACCTATTTGCAACTACAGATATTAGTAAGAAACAAGCAAAAGATGATTAAGAGGAAGAAGAGAAAACAAAACGTTATGTTTGTCAGTACATAGTACTTCGTATGAGTTAGATTAATGCAATTAGGAAATTCTAGAAAACTCCTAAAACTCTCGGATGAGAAATTTTTACGAAATCTGGTTATTTTTAAACGTATAAATTTCAACATTTTTTTACTTATGGCCGAACAGTAAATAAAAACAAGAAATTTTAACCGCAGAAAAATTCTTATTCGCAATTATTTGAAAAATCAAAAACTGATTATATGAGGTTATGTTACTGGATTAATTAATGATATGGAAAAAGTAAACGCATTAAGTCATCTTGTACAAGCAATTATTTTTTTATTATTACAGTTGCAAGAAAATACACTTGTTTACCTGGTTAAAAAACTAACTTTTTATTTTTTAATTCACAATGAAGTTGTATGTTGACATTATTATGTAAATGAACCCACTTCGTCACCAGGTTTTAGACACTACAGGTATTAATTATTTAATTATTTGGTGGTTATGAAAAAAATGTGTATAATAATAAATTTAAATATGTAATTCGTAATTAAGTAAGAACAATTATCTACATAGCATGCAATTAAATAAAAACAACTTAATTTCCGATTTACAATAGTAAGAAGACACATAATAATAGTTTTAAAACAATAGCCAGTTGCGAAAAGTGCAAGTTGCATGACGCAGCATAAGAGTAGTAAAAAATTTGTTGAACTGCTTGGCGAATTCCTTAATGTCAGTTTTATTTGGTATTTAGGTACTATTAGAGTTTTGGAAACCAAATCAATTGTTTTTTACTAAGATCCAAGAACATTATCTACGTAACATGAAGTACAATAAAAATTGTTTGTTTTATACTTACATGAGGCAGTTCTAAAATAACAGCCTGGTTTTTTTTATGGATGGGCTATCTGTGTAGTTAAAATGATAACTTGAGTGACTCTCTCGCCACCTGAAAAATAGTCAGTACTTTAGTCGATGGATTCGTTTTAGGAGAAGTGATTTATACTGTACTGAAATCTCCTGTTTTTTTAAAGACTGTCTTCAAGTTTTGTTGGAGAAATGTAAGCGTCAGAACTTTATCTTTAGAAAAAAAGCTGTACAGATCTTTTTTTTGACTACCCTTATCTATACATACTTTATTTCAAAGACGTGTGAAGAGTCTTGGTACTTGATACATTGGATTTTTCTTGAGTTTGTTAGACATTTGATTTTTCAGTCTTTCAAAATAATATCACTGTTACCTTGGTTGATATGAGTTGTTCTACGCGATGAGCAGTTATGATAAGTACTGTATTCGATGAAATACTGTAAGCAGCCTCATTAATATTATACTGTATATCCTAATTATTTCATGTACTTCCTCGTGAACTGCCATCAAATCAAATCATGTTCAATTTTTTTTTCTTTATGAGTAAGTGCAACCTTAGAACAAAGTGACATTTACTCACTTATTTACCAAGTTAAGAAAATTGAAATTTGTGCAATTTTATCTGTTTTCGTTAGTTGAAATTGAAATTGGTTGTTTACATCAATCTTTGAAACTTGTTAGCTTGATGGTACATAGAATAACAAAGTCTATACAAAGTCTAAGATACGTTGCAAAATACATTAAAAAAAATGTATATTAAT